TCTGGGTGTTGGGAAGGCTTTGCATAAACTGGACAATGAAAGCAAAGAGATTCTGCTTGGGGCAGCATGCGAAGCCTCCTCCTCCCCTGGAAAAGAGAGCCACAGGGAGCAACCAGCCATTTTGAGTAGGCTGGGGCTACAGCAGGCAGGGATCTTGACACAGGGCCCTGTAGGGCTGCTGGCTGAGAGCCACCTAGTGCCTAAGTGCCTTCTGACCACAGCCTGCCTCTGGCACTCCAGCTCCTCCCTCCCCGCAATTCCCTGCCCCAGGTTACCATCCAAACCCTCTGCACCCCTCGTCCCCTACTCACCGAGGTCACAACCCCTTCCCGGACCCTTCACCCGCTTCTACAGCCCTCCCCCAGGCCAGAATCTATCCTCTCCTGTCCCCATAGCCCCTCCCCAACCCTGCACCTCAATCCCCTATCCCAGATTACAACCAACTCCCATTATTCCGTTATTACTGAAATGGCCATTACATTAAACTGCATTGTAAGTTAGTGACATTCATTGGCATTTTAAGGGGAAAAAAAAAGACACAAATCTAAAATAAAATATCGTCTGCAGCATAAGACTTAATAAAACAGAAAAAAAATATAAAATCAATATGCACATTAAGGATGTTAAGGACTAGTCGACGAGTCGCTTCCCCCTCCCCCCTTTGCTGCCTCTATCAGATAGAGGCAGCAAAGGAGGGGAAGAGGAAGTACTTCAAAGTGGCAGTGCTGGGTGTGGTGTTGCTGCTTTGGAACACCGTGGAGTCATTTCAAAGGGGCAGCGCTGCTCTGGCATATCCATGGAACCCGGGATCAGCGGGAGATTCCCCAGCCGATCCCCGGCTCCGTGTGTGATATTTTAAAGCAGCAACGCCGCATGGAGCCTGGGGTCAGTAGGACACTCTGAGTCCCCACTGTCTCCAGGCTCCATATAGGTGCTTCTGCTTTGAAATGCACAATAGCCCTCATGGGGGACTCTTGCGCATTTCAAAGCTGGCATGAAGTGTGCAGCCCGGGACCAGCGGGAAGTCCTGCTGACTCCGGGCTCCACGCAGGTGCTTCTGCTTTGAAATGCACAAGAGCCCCTTAGGGCAAGCGCTTTCATGGAGCCCAGAGCTAGCGGGATTTCCCACTGGCCCTGGGCTACATGTGGAGTTCCACATTCCTCCTTTGAAATGTACAAGCAGGCGCTTTTACATTTCAAAGGAGCAATGCGGAAGTGCCTATCAACTAGTCAAACAGTGGATGGAAATTCCATCAACTACCTGGCTAGTAAATTAACCAGTATCTAACATACTTGATGCACATTACATACATACATTTTTGCAGTCACTTTTCTGGCCATGCATACACTGTTTAAAGAGATGCTAACAAAGAAGAAATTGATAAATCAAGTTGCAAGCAAAGAGCCAATAATGAAGAAAAAGGCTAGTTACACAAGGTCTCAAGGATTAAGGGGCTGATTATTTTGGCACATTCACCCCGAATTAGTAGATAACTGTAAATTCTGTTTTATTTTCCAAATTTTATTCTTTTCAAATTTTTATGTTACAAAAGGAATAAATTGTTTTGACATACAGGCAGTCCCCGGGTTACGTACAAGATAGGGACTGTAGGTTTGTTCTTAAGTTGAATTTGTATGTAAGTCGGAACTGGTACATATTCTAGGGGAAACTCTAGCCAAACATTTCTCCAGAGCTCAGTTTTATTCTCCCACACCTCACTTCCCTCAGTCCTTTATTCTCAAGCTGAGGTGTCGGCTGAGAAAAGCCGCTCCGCGTCTCCCTGGTCTGCTGGGGGAAAGCAGCTAGTGCGGGGGTGTCTACTGAGAAAAGCCGCTCCGCGTCTCCCTGGTCTGCTGAGGGGGGCGCTAGCTTCGCGTCTCCCTGGTCTGCTGGGGGGAAGCAGCTAGTGCAGGGTTGCCTCACCCCGTTTGTAAGTAGGGATCCGATGTAAGTCGGATCCATGTAACCCGGGGACTGCCTGTATAAGGCTATATCTCAGTACACTGAAGTGAATATAAAATATGTAAGTAGGCCAATAATTATTTAGACTAGAAAAAAGTTATTTTCAAGTCAAACTTTTAATTCAAGTCCTTTGGGCACAAGAAGCATGTTTTCTGATTACATAAGCCCTCCATGTATGGCTGCATTAACAATATAGTTACAACCAACCTATAGAATTGTTTTAATATTAGAAATAAGCAGTCTTAAGCTTTGCATGCTGAAATAAGAAAGATGACAATACTGGAAACACTCTCAGAAGCAAGCAACTCTTAAAGACAAGCTCTGAGTCTTACTGACATTCATGAACTACTTAACTGGCTATGTTAAGATACAGTTTTTTTAAATTATTCACTGAGAGGGAGTGGTCTAGTTATTTCTGGGATACAAAAGATGGAACTGGCAGTTTGCAAAAGGTTACACAATAATAGAGGCCTGCAGTTTCAGAAAAGCTTTAAAAAAACGGGCTCTTTTATTGTCGGCAAAGGCTGCATAATCCTAGTATCAGCACTTCAGCATCATCCTTTTAACTGTAAACATCCATAAAGCTGTCAGCACCATACAACAAATGGCTAAATAATACATCGTACCAGCAAGCAAATGCTGATTTTTTTTCACAACCATGTTTGTGAGCTGTGCTAGCAGTATGTCAGGGAATCTGACTATTTCACTTTACCAGATGGCATATTTCCTTTCCCTGTTTAATGTACATGAGAATTGGCCTTTTGCAACACATCTGAAAACTAAGTATAGCCAACTACTTGACTACACTCATGGATCATTATTAAAAACATTCAGGAAACCAAGTACCCTAAGCAGAGTCAGATTATTAATTAAAAACAAAACAGCACAACACAAAGCAATCTTGCAGCATTCACTTTTGCTTCAAAAAATGTATTTGAGATGATCTAGAATAACAGTAGCCCTTTCCCCAATCTTATATATCACCTAAGCTTTAAAAGACTGACTCAATACCAGCTTCTTATCTTGTTTTTCTGTGCTACCCTGTACCTTTCTTTTTTTATCTTTGCTTTGACCACTACATTCCCAGCATCAATGCAGGCATTCCCAAAAGAACAAGGACATGGCATTCGTACTATGCTGAGTTTTATATTGCTCTTACCAAGAGCAAAGGTTAGCTATTGGATAGTGTTATGGGATATTCCTTAGCACGAGTGAAAAGCATTTTTGGGAAAGCACAATACAATTTTCAACTGTATCATTAATTACGCTTTTTTCTAGGGATGTTAGCATATAGTCATTTAAAGGATTAACCAAGTCTAGGCTTATCGGTTAATCCAAATGACTACACACAACTTCCCCCCTCACAGATTTAGTGGGGGGAGGGAGAAGGCGGGAGTCAGCTTTTAAGTTGGCTCCCCATGCGTGCCGGTTCCCACAGAGCTACCAGAGGCAGCATCACAGGAGACAAGCTGGAGCTGGTGCTAAGCTGGCCCCCCACAAGCACCAGATCCCATGGAGCCACCCCACCTGCCAACCCTTCCTCCTCCCATGGCTCCCAGTGCCAGAGTGGCAGGGGGGGAGAGGGGGGTGGGGGAACAGGCAGGAGCATGTGGAAAGCCGTCTTTCAAGCTGGCTCCCTACATATATCAGCTCCCATGGAGCCACATGTTCCCCTGTGCTGCTGCCTCTCTGTCAGAGGCAGCAGCATGGGGGAGGACAGGTGGAATTGCTGGCACAGCCTCAGTCTGTGGGGAGCTTGGGTCCCCTGTGGACAGGAGTTGCTGCTGCCCCCTGCTGCTGACTCTGTATCAGAGTCAGCAGCATGGGATGGCAGGCAGGAGCTGGTCTGCATGGGGAGCCAATTTTTTTAAACTCTGATACTGAGGCAGCAGCATGGAGTTCCTGAGGGCTCCCCAGCTGTGGGGCTGGGAGCACACTGGCTGCCATCCTCTGGGAATGTGTTAGTAACGGTGTAACCACTACAAATGTTTGCGGCTAATGATTACTAAAATACACAACATCTAACATCCCTACTCTCTACAATGTTCATGTCACGACTAACACATAACATATATATTGGCTAACAAAATCTTTTACTAAAATTTCTCCTAAAGTAATAAGGAGAATTAAAATAACTAACAGGAGGCATACTTTCTGTTGTGCAACGAAAACACTTCCAAATGCTACAAGATTTACACAGAATAATAATGGAAACCTTTTCTCTGCTACCTGCTACATAAGCTGAACCTTGGCTGTGTTCATCCAATGATTTGATCAATTGTTGATTTCTAATTGAACTTTTAATTTTTTTTTATAACTTGAGTAATTCTGACTTTACTGAAGAGGTCAGA